TGACTCGTGTTGTTGACTTTACAAATTGACACTCCTGTTTATGGCGTCAGTAATCACCCTAGGCTCATGTCATGAGTTACCAAGGCTATGGAAGCCTTTTGAGTTCACCGGCTCAGATTATATTGAGGCATGGTCGTAGTCAGAGTGGAAGTTCTCTCCTCCCTTCAGAGAAAGTTACCTCCTTCTTTGATGACCTGTTCTTTTCACTGGAATCTCACTCGTGGAGATCTTTCATTTAGTTTTTTTTTTTTTTTTCCTAGAGTATCTTGGCTTTCCATGCCCAAAATACTCTCATGGGCTTTTCAGCCAGATCCGCATGCCTTAAGGGCTGATTCTGAGGCCAGAGTGCTATTTAGGGCATCTGCCATTCTATGGGTCTGCTGTGTATCTCACTTCCCATGTTGGATCGTTCTCCCTTCTTTTATTCTATCAGCTAGTATTTGCAGACACTAGCTTGTTTGTGTGCTCCCTTTGGCTCTTAGTCCTATCATTATGATCAATTGTGAACAGAAATTGATCACTGGGACTAGTGGGATGGCATTGGTACATGCCACCTTGATGGGATTGAATTGGAATCCCCTGGTATGTTTCTAACTCTACCGTTTGAGGTCAGTCAGCTTGAGCATGTCCCAAATTGCACATCTCTTCCCTCTCTTATTCCCACTCTTATATTTAACAGCGATCACTTTTCAGTTAAGTTTCAACACTTGAGAATAACTGTGTATTGATTACAGTATTCAACCAAAAGTATTAAGTAGAACAAACAAAAAAAATACTAAGAGGGATAACGTATTAAGTTGTTCATCAACATTCAGGGCAAGGGCTGATCAAGTCACCATTTCTCATAGTGTTCATTTCACTTTAACAGGTTTCCTTTTTGGTGCTCAGTTAGTTGTCACCGATCAGGGAGAATATATGTCCCTTTGGGACTGGCTTATTTCACTCAGCATAATGCTTTCCAAATTCCTAACAGGGATCACTTTTCAGTTAAAATTTAAACACCTAAGAATAATTGTGTGTTAATTACAGAGTTCAACCAATGGTACTAGAACAAAAACAAAATACTAAAATGGATAAAGTATTACATTGTACATCAACAGTCAGGACAAGAGCTGATCAAGTCACTGTTTCTCATAGTGTCCATTTCACTTCAACAAGTTTCCCCTTTGGTGCTCAGTTAGTTGTCGCCAATCAGGGAGAACATATGATATTTGTCCCTTTGGGACTGGCTTAATTCACTCAGCAGGATGTTTTCCAAATTCCTCCATCTTGCTGCAAATGACCGGGTTTTGTTGTTTTTGACTGCTGTATAGTATTCTATAGAGTACATGTCCCATAATTTCTTTATCCAGTCTACTGTTGATGGGCATTTGGGTTGGTTCCAGGCCTTAGCTATTGTGAATTGAGCTGCAATAAACATTAATGTGCAGACAGCTTGTTTGTTTGCCAATTTAATTTCCTTTGGGTAAATTCCAAGGAGTGGGATGGCTGGGTTGAATGGTAGGGTTATCTTCAGGTTTCTGAGGAATCTCCAGACTGACTTCCATAGTGGCTTAACCAGTTTGCATTCCCACCAACAATGGGTTAGTGTCCCTTTTTCCCCACATCCTCGCCAGCATCTATTGTTGGTAGATTTCTGAATGTGAGCCATTCTAACCGGGGTGAGGTGAAACCTCATTGTGGTTTTGATTTGCATTTCCCTAATTGCTAGTGATCTTGAACATTTTTTCATGTGTCTATTGGCCATTTGGATTTCCTCTTTTGAAAAATGTCTATTGAGGTCCTTGGCCCATCTCTTAAGTGGGTTGTTTGTTTTGATGTTGTGGAGTTTCTTGATTTCTTTGTAGATTCTGGTTATCAACCCTTTATCAGTTGCATAGTTTGCAAATATTTTTTCCCATTCTGTCGGTTGCCTCTTCACTTTCCTGACTGTTTCTTTTGCAGTACAGAAACTTCTCAATTTGATGTACTCCCAAATGTTAATTTTGGTTTTGACTGCCTGTGCTTCTGGGGTATTTTCTAAGAAGTCTTTGCCTGTGCCAATATCTTGAAGGGTTTTTCCAATGCTCTCTAATAATTTGAGGGTGTCGGGTCGTAGATTTAAGTCTTTAATCCATGTTGAGTGAATTTTTGTGTAAGGTGAAAGGTAGGGGTCTTGCTTCATGGTTCTGCAAGTGGAAATCCAGGTTTCCCAAGCACCATTTATTGAATAGACTGTCCTTACTCCAGGGATTGGTTTTGTATCCTTGATCAAATATGAGTTGGCTGTAGACGTTTGGATTGATTTCTGGTGTTTCAATTCTGTTCCATTGGTCTATCCATCTGTTTCTGTACCAGTGCCATGCTGTTTTGATAACAAACTGCCCTGTAGTATGTCCTGAATTCTGGTATTGTGATGCCTCTGGCTTTGTTTTTGTTGTACAAGATTGCTTTAGCTATTTGAGGTCTCCTGTGTCTCCATATGAATTTCAGCATCATTTTTTCCAGATCTGAGAAGAATGTCTTTGGTATCTTGATTGGTATCACATTGAATCTGTAAATTGCTTTTGGGAGAATGGACATTTTGATGATGTTGATTCTTCCAATCCATGAGCATGGAAGATTTTTCCATTTTTTGGTATCCTCTTCTATTTCTTTCTTTAAGGTTTTGTAATTCTCATCATAGAGATCTTTAACGTCCTTGGTTAAGTTTATTCCAAGGTATTTGATTGTTTTTGTAGCTATTGTGAATGGGATTGATCTAAGAAGTTCTTTCTCAGTTGTGGTATTGCCAGTGTATACAAAGGCTGTTGATTTCTGTGCATTGATTTTATATCCTGCAACTTTGTCAAACTCTTCTATGAGTTCCAATAGTCTCTTAGTAGCGTTCTTTGGATCCCCTAATTAAAGAATCATATCATCTGCAAAGAGGGATAGTTTGAGTACTTCCTTCCCAATTTGTATCCCTTGAATTTCTTTTTCTTGCCTAATAGCTCTGGCTGGAACCTCCAGAACTATATTGAATAGCAGTGGTGAGAGTGGACATCTCTGTGTGGTACCAGATCTCAGTGGAAATGCTTCCAACTTTTCTCCATTCAATAGGATGTTGGCCATGGGTTTTTCATAAATTGCTTTGATTGTATTGATGAATGTTCCTTCTATACCCAGTTTGCTTAGAGTTTTCATCATGAAAGGTGTTG